TTTTGTAACCTGTTTGACAGGATCGCTTAAAGACCCATACCATGCCACTACCGTGTACCTTGTCACCACCTTGTCACCAGATCTCTTTGTTGGCTTTCCTCACACGGCGCACTGCTCTGACTGGCAGCTTCTGGCAGGTGAAGTCATTGGCAGGCCGCGGTCGTGGCAGGGGACGTGGCCGTGGCGCGAAGAAGAAGTGAGCCTGAGCATCGCTTTCTGCGTAACAGTAGACACAATCTGGAAAGGAAGAATGGTAATGACAGGGTTGGGCATACTCGTGTTCAAGTTGCATTTACCACACTGGAACTGGAACTCTCAAAATATCGCTCAGCCCGTTGATTTTGATCGACAGCGCGCTCCAAACGCTTGCAATCTGGTCAAGCAACTTGGAAAGATTGATGAATGAAAGGGCGAGACCCATCCCAGCTGTAAGTCCTCTACCATCAGAGAAAGTGCTTGGATGCGCTGATGAGTGATCGCAACTGTTGCGGTACAGCAGAAGGGCCCAGTAGAATTGAGGCAGCATGGCAAACCTGGCCACGGAATGCCAGGGAACAAGCTTTTTACCTGCAGCAGAGACAGTCAAGATGCGAGGGCATTTCAAGAGGTAGAGGAGCTTGGCCGGAGCCTGGTTCAAGGGCACGCTGGAGCCGAATCTGAGCTATGCACAACTTATCCTGCGGTGGTGTTAAAAAGACGTTCCTGCTGCTTTTGCTGTAGTAGATTCTTCAAGACGAGATTGTAAAGGCTAGAATGGGGTGACACGCTGGTGCCACCAACCCCTTTTTGAGCTTGAGCAGAGTCAAATTAATAATGACTTGTCGTAGCCCACATTTAATGACCACAGCAGCTATTGGGGATCTCACGCAGGCTTATCAATGTTTTATTTGTTTTTCCTTTATGTTTTCCTCTCCACTTGCCATAAATACTTTGGGATTTGCGAAGAGATCAAATATTAGGATTTAAGCTCCTTTGTGGGGACCCTTCTGAAACATCATTAAGTGCGGTTCTTGCCGTTCTGAATCAAAACACAAATTGTTGCTTTTATTTATTTGGATTTCTACAGGCGCTTGTGCTTCAATCTATATTCGCCTTCCTGAAGGCTTCTGGCAGATGTGCAACATCAAGCACAATCAGTGTCATAGATCATAGATATTCTTATAGGCCAAGCATCAGGAAACACAACTAAACTGCTACAGCACACTCATGTCGTTTATAGTGTCAAGCCTCAAATGCTTTGCGACCCATAGATTGCTTGTCCAATATGTTGACTGCGAATCTCTCACATCAAGGGTCATGAACCAAGATTGAGACCACCACCATGTCAAATCCCTGGTTCGGGAGAATAAAGAAATGGAGCGCAGACCCCCAGACCTCCATTCAACCACTTCTCCAAAGCTGCTGGACGAGCTTCATCCTGGATGGCCGGATGCGAATGCGGAACCTCTGGAAACTGGTCGGCCTTTGGGTCCTCGGAGTGGCTGGGTGTCCCAGCGTGAGCCACGCGTTCCCAGGGTGCAAGCAATTCAGGTCCACACGGCAAACGTTGCATGAGGAAATTGGTCGAAAGAGAATTGAATTGAAAGAACATGGATTTATGAAATGAGAAAAGCTGCTAATTCACCTCTTGGATCTGTAGGTCTAGATCCATTTCTATACAGCGGGGAGATTGATGCAACAAGTATTGGTGACTCATGGCTTGGGTTTTTGCGAAGGTGGATGCGGGCCCAATAAATAGATGGAGCTTGGATGATATAAGACTAGGAGCAAGAAGCTACTAGGAACAAAGGGAAATGGCTACTAGGAGCAAAGACGCAACTAGGG